AAGAGGTCCTTTCCCCCCCCCCCCATAAAACAGGTCCTTACGGTCCTGGCTGCTTGTCCTTTCTGGGGAGTCTCCGTTTTTCCTTAGAGAAGTTAGGGTGCTCATTTGCTGACATTGTATGGTCTCCCTTGTCTCTCTGCTGTGCACCTTGATGATAAATACGACGGTGCGATGACGCATTGTGCCTACTACTCTCCTCCTTCCCGTCACCCGGATCATGGCATCTGCGGATGTACGGACGTCGGACGCAAGCAAATAAATGTGTGCGCGAAGAATGCATTTGCAAACAAACATGTCTGCACACGGGTGGATGAGTGCCTTCCTTTCATTCTGTGAGCGGTTGAATGCGCGTGCGCTCGCAAGCGGCTCGTTGGTTGTGCTGCACACATGTGCGATACGTGTGGATGTGTGTGAATTCTGCACATTCTGTGAGCGACTGAATGCTTGTGTGCGTGCAAGCGGGTCATTGTTTGTGCGTGCGCATGTGCAACACGTGTGGACGTACGGCGTCCTCCCATTCTGTGAGCTAGTGAATGTTTGTGTCGCAGCAAGCGGTTTGTTGGTTGTGCGCATGCATGTGCGAATGCAGTCCGTGCATAAGCTCAGCAAGCGCAGCACTGTCTCACCTATATGTGCAGTGACTTTCGGTAGTTTCCCTGAAGCTGGAGTCAGTTGGTCGCGAATCTTCGGTCCAGCAGACGGTAAGTGCATGTGACTTTTATGACCATCCAAAATCTCTCCCCTGTTTTTCTCTCTTCGGATGACGCCTGCACGGTCCTGCAGCTCTGTCCCAACATACACAAAATACAACTCCAGAAATGATTTGAAAGAGTGATAAAACTTTTTTTTTTTTTTTTTTTTTAAATTGGACCATTTCTCGATTTATGTGTGTCATCCTTGCACAGGGGCCATGCTAATCTTCTCTGTATCGTTCCAATTTTAACGGATGTCCCGAAGGACTAAAACTTTTTTTTGCAGGATATCGTCCTCATTTTTTTGTTCGAACTGCAGATGTGACTGGTGTAATTGAAGCTTTTCAAACTTCAAAGGACAAAAAAAGAAATTGTGAAATATCATTCGAAAATGTAGTAGTGTAAACTTTAAAGTTTAAAGTTTAAACTTTAAATTTCAAACCACCACTGCCGCCGAGGAACCTATTTTCAAATTATTTTGTCACACCTAAAAAAAAAATAAAAAAAAAAATCACCAATCCTGGCCTGCGGGGTGAAAGGTCAAGCCTATGGGATCACAGCGACTGTGATCGACAGATGCATTTGTTTTGCGGCAATTTTGCACCAAATTGTCTCTCATCATGAGTCTCATGGGCATTTTCTTTTTTCTAATATTTTTCCCCTGATATAGTGGAACATATTCCTGCATCCCCAAAATTTTGGGTTTTTTTTGTCAATGGAAATGAGAATTAAAAATCGGCAAAGTTGGACCATTTGAGATGTTGTGCACCCCCCCGCCCCGGTACATACTCCTCATGGATCTGGCACGCCGAATCTTTCTGCAGCCTCTAACAACAGGACCGCAAATTTTGGTGGAAAGGTGGCACCATTGGTGGAAGTCCTTTTGTCATGAAGTCAAAAGTAATTGCACTGGTTTCATTTAGCAGCTGGTCTAGCGGACGTACGTCCGCTATGATTAGTAGCCGCACGTTCTTCAGGCGTGAGTTTGACTGAGGAAGGGTTTTCAGAACTGTCGACTCTTGAGTCTGGGGAAGAAGTGAGGTATAATCCCCCCCCAGAGGAAGACGGCTGTCAACTGTCATAATGCCGCGTCGGGGGCGCAAAACCTGCCATTCTATCTTATGCCCTATCTGTGTCCTTTGTAGTCTTGTCAGATTCAGTCAGACGATACTTTCGATGACTCTGTTTTTTGGGTTTTTGACTGTACTTTGTGAATTCTTTTGCCTTCATTAAAATGAATAAAGTTCATTTATCTTCGCCAGTGTAACTTCCCCGCTTTTCTCGGGGTTTCTTATCAGCTCCAAAACTTTTCCATCCTTGGCGCTCGCCTGGGGAGTACGGTCACAAAACTCAGAAAAGGGGGGAGCTGATGATGAGGGCCTTCTGGAGAGTGAGCTTTCTGATGATCTCTACTGACGCTGGGATGCAAAAGTTTGCGCGGGGCTACTTTGGTAAGACGCACATGTCCCCCATGTGGCTTGACGGACACGTAAGCGTATGTGTCACTGGCAATTGCGAAATTGATAATTCCCATCCATATCCACAATGGACATATGTGAAAATGCCCATCCGTATCCACAGTGGACATATGATGAATCTATATAACAAAGTGGGGGGGAAGAAGGGGGGCGAATACACCAATGATGACTCCATAATCCATATGGGTGGAAATTTGGTCACATAGATTTTCACCACGGAATTTGACGGTCCAAGTATGCCTCTGCTGTGGCCCCCGCAGTTTTCTCTGCCGACCAACCGGTCTCGATCTCGCCACCTGTGCAAATAACTGTGCTTGCCGCAACAATGGCATCACCATCGGCATCCTTGAGCACGTCTGGCTCTTTCTTCGCAGTGTCCATCTCTCTCCAGTGCTTATGTCGTCCGTATCAAAATCTTACACGAGCGAGTTCCGTCTCCTTTCTCCCGAAATACACTGCACCGAAAGAGATCGATCCAACCCATTTAATTGATCGTATCTCCAGTGCCAGTATAAAAGTTCACACTGTAAAGTGGAGACTGGCTCCCACCCTCTCCACCCGAAAAGAACGCCGGGTGATTATAGCCGTATTTGGGCCATCTTTCAGTCTTCATACAGCGATAATGACTGGGTGTTGTTTTCGGGTGAAGTAATGTTGTTTGTTTGCTTCGCTCAGAATTTTTTAACTTCGTATACCTTCAAAGTTGATGAACTCTGCCTTGAGAACTTTTTTTGTGCTGAAAGAAGAGGAGGAGAGGAGGAGAATTGAGAAGAAGAAGAAGAAGAAGAAGAAGAATGAGGAGGAGGAGGGGAGGAGGAGGAAGGCGAAGACAGAGGACTGGTTGCCACAAAATGCCAATGCAACTTCTGTCTGTGTACGAACGTTGTATGCATTCTTATTGCCGTACGGAGTCTCCCACTACCACTGAGGAGGAGGAGGATTAAGAAGAAAGAGGAGAGAAGAAAGAGAAAGAAGTCGTAGTGGTGGTAGTAGTAGTAGTAGTAGTAGTAGTAGTAGTAGTAGTAGTAGTAGTAGTAGTAGTAGTAGGAGGAGGAGGAGGAGGAGGAGAAGAAGAAGAGAAGTCGTAGTGGTGGTGGTA